CTTGATAACTGCCTCCTCAGCATCACCTTTGATCATTTTATTCTTTCAAGCATAAGGTCCAGACCACACTGATTCATTCCCATCCATGCGCACAGGAAGAGAAGGGTCTGTCGGTTGCCGGGCTCCTTACTTGAGCAGTCTTGCGTAGCCCTGGCTGTTGGGCAGGGCCGACATCTGTGGGGAAAACGTGCTGGAGCAGGCAGCACTGTAACTTTTCCGCCTAAAAGATGAGCTGGTGCCCGAGGCTGGGTTGACAGCATGAACTTGTCCACTGAGTAATTTACTCTGCTTTGCTGTCTGGTTTGTAAATTAAATGTGAATACAAATAAAATAACCAAGAAAATCCTCTCCATAGACACAACCCTTCGGCCAGTGCACGCAGAGGTCTGGAGGTGATGCTTGCAGGATTTGGAGGTGAGGCACCTGGTGGTTTCTCAGACACGGAGATGGCTTCAGGCTGGGCCACTCCAGCGCCCAGGATACTGGCATTCCCTCCAACACAGGCTATTTCCAATACCCAGGTGCCACAAAGTTCCTCAAGTGCACACATCAGATGTATGTTTTACGAGTATCAAATGAGTATTTGTTCTGTATATGTGTGTGTATATATATATAAATTAATCTGCATGTACATAAACACTACGGGAGAAATTCCAGGTGTCTGTTCTCTGAAGGAAAGCAATCACTCACCATTCTTGGCAATTCCTCAAAGGCTTTTCAGACCAAATAGCTTCACTCCCCAAATGGAAAGGATACAAAATAGGCTGCAAAACTTGCCAAGTACTCACAAGTCCCCTGTTTGAGACAAATAAGAGGTGGTCCCTATTGGGACAGGAAGAACAGAAGACACTTTAGAAGAACAATGGTTCAAGGGCTTTTGGTTTCCAAAGAAAGCCTTTTCCTGGAAGGCAGATGTACTACCACCATGCTCGTCCTTAGAACCAAGCCAGCAAGGTGCCCTGCCGGGTTTACTTCCTTGGGTGGGATGGGGAGAAGGACAGTGGCCAAACCACAAGTGTTTCCTGCCCAAAGCCCCTGCTCTCTCCCCGGGTTCTCCAAATGCTCCCACCCAGCCCCAGTGGGAGTGTGCCCCCTAGATCCTGGTGCATGTGGCTTGGCACTTTGGGAAGCAGGTGGTTTCTAAGAGGTGAGTGGAGCTACAGGTGACAGGTCTATAGCCTGCCCCTCTGTACCCACTGTGCTCAGAGTACCCAGTCTTGGGGAAATCAGGGATTACCATTTAATACAGCTCTGTAACCAAGTTTTCCATGTTTCAAGGTAATTTTTCCTGTGATTTTTATCACTTCAAAAAAGGAAATGAGGGTTAAGCTAAAGTAGATACAGTTCTTATTTCCAAGTTTGGGAATATACAACTTTAGAAACATCCTCAGAGGTACCTGTCTGATGATGTCCGCACCCACTGGGTGTGCACCCAGCATGCCAGCCAGGCCCTGTGTGTAAAGGCCAGGACCCCCTACATGCAAGTCTTTGTGCTGAAGACCACCCCAGCTCTGACAATTCCCTGGAAGCCCTGGAAGCCCTTCAGCCCTCATTCTTACAAGTGGGCCAGTGAGTTCTTTCTTCCTAAACCATAGAAGGCTCTGAAGTGAGTGTGGAGAAAGGGCTCTTAAAACCACAGTGGCCAGAGCTCCAGGCTGTGACTATACACTTCTACCACTTCCACTTTCATCTCCACCCCTGTTTCTTTTTCCCATTTTCCTCTCTAAATGTGTCTAGATTTAAAAAAAAAAAAAAAAAGGGCAGGCACATAGGTCAGTACATTTGGCTTAGCAACAAATGTTTCTTTAGTTGATCTGATAACTAAAAAGTTATGGTCCATGATTCAAACTCCCATGAAAAAGCAGAATTATGCTAACAACTAAAGAGAGTGGAAAATATCCTATACTAATCACACAGCCTCTGTTTTTTGAGCTGAGGGTAACAGTGGGTTTTGCAATGATCAGTTCACAAGGCCAGGCAAGCCTGGCATGAAACACAGCTGGTCACCACTTAATGCAGCAGAGATCATTTCAAAAGTATTGCTTCTTTTAAGAATGCAAAGGGGACATCTGGTGGGGAGGTTCCACATGTAGTTCTGAGTGTGCCTATAACCCCTTGCCCCTCTGTGGAAGGTGAGGGGCCCTGTGACCCAGCAATCCCCAGAGAACAGACACAGGACGTTTTCAGAGATGATGTAAAGGGCGATGTACTGCTTTGCTAACCAAAGTTTCTATGTAAAGAAAGTGTTTATAATCTGATGTTTTATTTAACGTATATAGGCAGATGTATATGTTAAAAACTTGATTCTGTGTCTATGAATATGAAATCTGAACTATTTTATCCACTAGAAGGCAAAGGAAAGGTCCTACACTGTGGGAGGAAGAACTGACGAGAACCCCGTTCTCACTGCTTGCTTGGTGGTGGGCAGGCTGAGGGTGGCAGCGGGCTCTGGGCTGTTTTCAAGGCCTCCAGAAGCTCTCTCGGTACCCGGTGGCCGGGCACGAGAACAGCATGTGGCAGCAGACAGTCGAGTTTGGCCCTTCCACATGGCAGGCGGCATCCCAGACAGGCCAGTCCTTCACAGTAATCGGATCAAATTCAGTCTGTTTCTGAGGAGAAAACACATGCCTGTCACTCCACAGCAGCTGCCACTTGTACAGCCCCCAGGGGAGCCTGGACCTCAATAGGCCACGGTGGCATCACTGGCTTTGGGGACCTCTTAATTCCATGAGCAATGCCTTCCTGCCAGCCATCCCCACTCTCCGGCCTGAGGGAGTGCGGGGGAAGGACAGGAGCTCGGACTCTCCGAGGGACCCCGCCAAGCCCCAGGCCTAGCAGCTGGAGCAGCTGCTTGGCTTCTGCAGACCCACTGGCCCTTGCTTGCTCCCCAGGCCGCCACTGCTGCCACCTCTGCAGTTCTGTCCTAAAAAGCCTCATCCTGCCCTCTCCCTCCTGGCTCTCCAGAACACACTGTTTTAATATAACGGCAGCTGGGTCTAGTTTCTGATATGCATTCCACTGGTGTCTTCACTTCATTTATAATTCGGAACCCTCAGAGTCAAAGTCTTTGAGGCTGATCAGAAGTTCATCACCCGTGCGGCGTGCAGAGACAGACGGCCCTTACGTTGCAGCTGGCTGAGAAAGCTGGGAGAAACCAGATGCAGGCCCTTCCTGTAACCACGGTTATCTGCCTCAGATAGAAGTGGCAGACGGCCACCCCTACCACTCTTGCTGTGTCCCATGAAGGACAGCAACACTTCACTTTGTGTTAGATTTAGTAGCTGAGGGGAGCCAATGCCTGTGATTCCAACCTACTCATCACATCTCCACATTGGCTTTTTTAAAAAGTTACCGTAAAATATACATAAAATTTACCATTATAACCATTTTAAGTGTACAATCCAGCAGCATTACGAATATTCATAATGTTATGAAACCATGACCCCATTTCCAGAACTTTTTCATCATCCTAAACAGAAATTCTATATCCATTAAACATTAACTCCTCATTTCCTCCTCCCCTAACCCCTGATAACCTCTATTCTACCTTCTATCTCTATGAATTTGCCTATTCTAGGTACCCTCATATAAGTGGGATCATACAATATTTGTCTTTTGTGTCTGGCTTATTTCACTTAGAATAATATTTTTAAGGTTCATTGATGTTTTAGAATGTATCAGCATTTTATTCCTTTTTACGGCAGAATAAAATGTACACACACACACACATTTTATCTATTAATCTGTTGATAAGTACTTGGGTTGTTTCTACCTTTTGGCTCCTGTGAATGATGCCTCTATGAACACTGGTGTACAAGTATCTGTCTGAGTTCCTGTTTTTAATCCTGTTGGGCATACTAGGGGTAAAACTGCTGGATCATATGGCAATTCTATATTCAACTTCTTGAAGAACTGCCAAGTTGTTTTCCAATGTTGCTATACCATTTTACATTCCTACCAGCAATGCACAAAGGATCCAATTTCTACATATCTTCCCAACATATGTTCTGTGTGTGTGTGTGTGTATGTGTATAGTAGCCACTGTAAGTGTGAAGTAGTATCTCACTGTGGTTTTGATTTGCATTTACCTAATGACTAAAGATGTTGACCATCTTCTCATGTGCTTATTGCCCATTTATATATTTTCTTTTTTTTTTTTTTAGACAGAGTCTCACTCTGTTGCCCTGGCTAGAGTGCCGTGGCATCAGCCCAGCTCACAGCAACCTCAGACTCCTGGGCTCAGATGATCCTCCTGCCTCAGCCTCCCGAGTAGCTAGGACTACAGGCATGTGCCACCATGCCTAACTAATTTTTTCTATATATTTTTAGTTGGCCAATTAATTTCTTTCTATTTTTAGTACAAACGAGGTCTCGCTCTTGCTCAGGCTGGTCTCGGACTCCTGAGCTCAAACAATCCGCCTGCCTCGGCCTCCCAGAGTGCTAGGATTACAGGTGTGAGCCACCACGCCTGGCCCCAAATATAGAAATCCTGGTTGACATATATATTTTTTTGTCCTACATGGCTTTCGATATAGCACCCTGCTGCCTTTGGGCCTCCATGGTTTCTGATGAGATATCAGCTGTTAATCATATTGAGGATCCCTTGTATGTGATGAGCTGCTTTTCTCTTGCTGCTTTCAAAATCTCCTCTTTGTCTTTGGGTCTGACAATTTCAAATAATATATCTTGGTGTACATCTCTGAATTTATCCTGCTTGGAGTTCATTGAGCTTCTTGGGTATATAGATTCTTGTCTCTCATCATATTTGGGAAGTTTTCTGCCATTATTTCTTCAAATATTCTTTCTGCCCTTTTCAATCTTTTTCTGGGATTCCTATAATGCACAAGGCTTTGTTCATTTTCCTTCCTTCTTTTTTCTTTCTGCTTCTTTTGATAAATTGTTTTATCTTCAAATTCACTGATCCCTTCTTCTGCCTGCTCAAATCTGTTGTCGAACCATTCTAGTACGATTTTCACTTTAGTGATTGTACTTTTTAACTCTAGAATTTGTTTGGTTCCTCTTAAGAGTTTCTATCTAACTGATGTTCTCATTATGTTCATGCATAGTTTCCCTGACTTCCTTTAGTTCTTGTCCAGAGTTTCCTTTAACTCATTGAACATACTTAAGACAGGTAATTTAATGTCTTTGACTAATAATTTCAATGTCTGGACTTCCTCAAGGATGGTATCTGCCAAATACTTTTTCTCCTGTGAATGAACCATCTTTTTGTTGTTGTTGAGAACTGGACATTCTGAGTATTATGTTTTGATAACTAAAAATCTAATTCTCTCATGCCTCAGAGATTGCTGGCTTTTGCTTGGTAAGAGCTGAAGCCATCTGTGACTTTTCCAAACTATTTTTACAAAGTATATTCTTTGTGGTGTATAGTCACTAAAGTTTCTGTTCTGATGTCTCTGTGGCCAACCAGAGATCTAAGATTTCCTAAAATGTCTGGCTTGTCAAAAGGGGGAAAAGAAAAAAAAAGAGGTTGCCTTTCTGTTTAAATCCCCTTGTGGTTAGGAAGCTGCTTCAGTCCATAGAAGTTGAAACAATGACCAGCCTCTGTGCTGGCCCCTCAGTGATCAAATTTAGTGACTTTTGGATGACAAAAGTCCTGGCACCAATAGGCTACACCAGGAACCTGGATCACAGTTACCTGCTACAAGGCTAGGGGAAGGGGATGCTGTTTTGTGGAACAAGAAAATTCACTAAAACTAACAAGCCTCTCCATCAGGCTCTCTCCTGGATATTGCAAGTGTTCAACTAGATTCCAGAGCTCCAAATTAGTTGCCTCAGATAATTACTGCTAGTTCAATAGTTGTTTAGGTGGAGAAACAGATTCCTGGTGCCATCTTCCTTTTCTGCTATCTTCCATGACATCACTCTTTTCACATCAGCTTTTGTAACAAACTTATTCGAACATCCTCATCTATTTTGAGGATGACACCTTGGCCTACTGGTAATCACAGAAGCATAGAGCTGAATGCAACATAAGGACACTTAGACCACTTGCACAAAGCCCTCCAAGTGAAAGAGGAGAGACAACCTGCTCTGCATTGAAAAAGGGTCAAACCAGCCATAAAAAATCTCATTTATGTGCTGCTCTGACTCCAGGATGTGCCACTAGCCACGTTTTGAAGCTGTCTGTGAGCTGTGGGGCCCAGACAAGAGAAGCATTTCCCCCAAGTCTTGCCCTAGTAGAAACATGGACAGAGCTGGAGGAGGCCAGAAGAAGCCAGTGCCTGTGTGCTCACATTGTAACTGCTGACCGGCAACTCGGGGCTCCACCAGGTGTTTGCTCTCAGTGTGGGTTTTGCAGAGCTGGATTTTTCACCTCAGTATGTGAGCATGAAAAGAATAGGCTTTCTGCAAATGCTAAACAGATGGGAAACATGGCACGCCCCACCCTCAAATTATGGGTGGACTTGGAAGTCTCCTTTTCTTTGAGTAAAGAAACAATAGCCTATGTTTCAAATTGTTGTGTTCAAATCAATTTAAAATATTTAGAGAAAGAAAAATAATTTGTCTTTTTAGAAGGTCTTAAGTAGAAAGCAACTGGGGTGGTATTTGCCAGGCCAAACAAACAAACAACAATAATGGTCAGCTATGGAAACAATGGAACACCATACAGGAAGTTCTGTGGGCTGAGGGGCAGGGCACTATATTCAGTCCTGGGGATGAGGTGCCAAACACAAGGCCCCATACTGAAGCAGCTCATGCCAAGGTTCCTTGGGGCCAACTGCCATACTGCCCAATTGTAAAGATACTTTCTGGGTGTTTCCTGCACTCCTCCACCACACCAATCAGCTGGCAGAGCTGCCATTTTGGAACCCCCAATCCTTTCAGCTTCTGCGATGCTCCTCCCTCCTGGCTCTAGCCCGAGCTTCTGGCTGTTCTGTGATGGGACTTCTAATGAGGAGACAAATACCAAGGGTGGGGAGGAAAGGGAGAGGCTGGGAACTCATGGACCAAGAACCTGGAAAATCAATACCTACTAACATGACTTGTCTGTCGCTTCAAATCTATGTATTAAATAAAATAAATTTTAAATAACTTTTACTTTCAAGAAAGTATGATCTAGAGAAATGAGGAACAAAATTCAAGCTTTTGATTTCATAGATGTCCAAGAGGGAAGGTGATTTTCCACTATGACAAACATTTCTTCTGTATCAGGAAGAACAGCAGAAATACAAGATAGGATTTTCATCATCAGAAAAAAGCACTGCATGTATCTAGGGACAATTAAAGGATCTTTCCTTTTGTTCACCAATTCAAGCTGAATTTCCTCTAATGCCCCATTGCTCTCTCCTACTCAGTGGCTGTGGATCGATCTGCCTGACTCAGATGATGTTCTGACCTATTTTCCTATTGCTAAGAAATGGCTAGAAAAACTTGGACCCCTTTAGGTTCACTGTATTCTTTCCCCTGCAAAAAATTTTAAAAAACATGAAACAAAAAATATCTCTCAACCCTTTATTATACTGTGCTCCCATGTCTTCTGCAGCCAGTTGTCCCCTGAAGCAACCAGGCAGTTTGTCCTGCTGCTGGGCAGCCTTAGAGAAAGCAGATAACCCCTGTGTGATAAACTCAGGGCCCACCCCGAGTACATCCTTCCCTCACCCACAGAAGGTAGACATGGCTCCCATGGACTCCTTACCTAGCTGAAGTCCAGCCTGGGAACTTGATGTGTCAAAGGGCTCTGAGCTGGCCTCAGGGACACTGGGCTCCCATGATTCACTGTTCTCGGACACCTCTGAATAGGTGTCACCCATCCCTTTGTAAACTGCTGCAGGCTCAACAGCACCAGGGCCCTGGTCCTCAATGCCTGTGTCCACCACAGCCCGGGTCTCCTCACCCATTTTCTCAGCAAACCACTGCTTGACCTGCTGGGGGCTCATCTGGGTTTTTTCACAGAGATTCTGTAGGTCCTCCTCATACAGCATCTTGTGTGTCATGTAATAGTCTTGCAGGAGCTCCTGGTTGCCAGGGGTGATGACCAACAGCCCTGGAGGGAAGTTGCCCCGCTTATAGTCTTCGTACCACTTGAGCTGACCATTCTTCAGGGCATACCTGCTGTCTCCAAACCAGCGCACCACCTCTGGCCGCGGCAGACCTGTCTGGGCCATGATGGCGTCATAGTCCTGGTTGCTTGGCCACTGCGTCTGGACAAAGAGCTGCCGCAGCAGGTGCCGCTGCTGGGCTGTCTTTTTGTAGCTCACTTTGCCTGGGGGCTGCTCTGCCAGCTTGTTTGACCCATCATCCTCGGGCTCACAGGTACCCAGTCCTGGAATCTCACTCTTACCATTGGCTTCAGTGACCCGAAGGTTCTTGAGGTTGATTTTGATGGGACTGACTTTGCGCTCTGCTGAGGTATGACTGCCAGGCACTTCCGGGGAGCCATTTTCACCAGGGACCCTAAGCTCACTGGCCAAATCCTCTTCTCCACCCTCATCCTCAGCAGCCTCCTCTTCCTCCTGAGAGACATTCTCATCAGCCTTCTTGGTCTCCTCAGCAGTCACTTTTTTCCGTCTCTCTGAAAACCAGCTATCAATTTCTCTTCGGGTCATTTTGGTTTCACTTCTCAGGCGGTCCAGTTCCTCGTCAAGAGGAAGAGGGTTTTGTGCAAAACTGTTCTCCAGGACTCTGAGCTGTTCAGGGGCTCTCTCCTTGTATTTGGTTGGTGTGAAGTCAGGAGTCTGGTGCCAAGACTGTCGTCTGGCAGAAGGGTGGGTTGCTATTGTGGCTGCTGTCGGGATGCAGGTTACCTCGGGGGCCTTGGATGATGGGCAGAAGGACATCTCTGGCACAGAGTCAATAATGATGGAGCCATGATCTCCAGGCATCATGGCTCTGGAGCCCTTCAAGTTCCGGCAGTGGTATCTCCGATCACTGAACCACTTTCGCACCTCTCGGGTACTGAGGCCAGTTACTTTGGTCAGATGCTCAACTTCACTCTGCCCTGGGAACTGGTTCCGACAGAAGCTCCCTTTCAGAGCTGACAGCTGTTCATGAGATTTCTTATTTTTATAGATGCTTGCATCAAGGAAGGCTTGGGAAGTTATGCTGGGGCAGGCTGTGAGGAGAGACTGGGCCGCGTTGACCACCTTCACAGCTGACGTTGTATTTGAACACACAGTGTTAATGGGTGCCACGCTTGGTTGCTTGGGGACAGATGTAACGGTGAGGGGGAGAGATGAACTTGGTGCTTGCAACCCATTGGCCATCAGTGGCTGAGTGACCAGAAGACCCCCTGCGGTGCCCTCTGGCTGTCCCACGACGTGACTTGGGAGAGCGGCCTGGATGAGATGCTGGACGTTGCCAGCACTGGCGACCAGGGGGGTGTTTAGAACCGTGATTGTGGGCTGAGGCACAGACTGGATGACTGTGTTGAACATCTTCTTCCGGGCATCCTCGATCTCCTCAGGGGACCAGCTGATGCCCTGCTTCAGCCTTTGGGCTGTGAACCAGATCTTGAGCTGCTCTTCTGGATACTTGGTCACCACAGTCAAATAGCAGAGCTCGGCCTTGGTTGGGTAGGGGAACTTGTGGAAGGAGTTCTTCAGGAAACTGTTGGAGTCCATGGCCGCATTGTACGCTGGAATGCTGCTTAGGGGGACCATCACTTTGGGAAGGGCCTTGGATGTGGGTAGTGTCTGGTGGGCGTGGTGCTGGGTGTGCACGGGGGGCTGCTGCTGGAGAGACAGGAACTGTGCTATACCAGCCGGCAGAACTGGCACTGTTCCAATCAGGGGCCCATTGGCAGCATGTGGGGGTTTTGCAGAGCTGGTAGATGCCTGGCTGACTGGGATGGCCCCATTGATGAAGGAGTGGTCCCCCTCTTTCACCTCTGTTTCTCCAACCGACAGCTTTGGTAAAGCCTCACCCACAGGCTGGCTGGGGACATTCTCCTTGATTGTGTGGATTTTTTTGGCTTCAGCTTTGCCTTTCATTATCTTCATGATTGGAGTTTTGGTAATAATGATTTCTGCCTGTCCATCGACCCCTTCGGCACTGGACTCGCCTGCTAGGTCAGGGGTGTTGGTGCTCTCGGGAACGCTCTGCTCCACGACCACATGATTGTCTGGTTTGGCCACATTCCAAACAAAGTTGGCTTCCCCCGAGTGACACTTGGCATTGTGCAGGGAAAGCCCCTCGGGGGTTTTTGCCAGAAAACTGCATGCAGCACATACAAAAGTTGGGTCTTTATTAAAGTCTGTGTGCTCTGAGTTCATATGTCCCACAAACTGAGTCATGTCATGGGATCTGAAATCACAGTATTTACAGGAATATAAATAGCCATCCAAAGTGCTCCGATGCCCGTTGGCCAGTGCAGAGCCATCAGTGCTGCTGGAATTCTGGGCTGCCTCACTGCTGGTGGCAGGCACTTCTGGGGGCAGATCCTGCTGGGGTCCTGGGAGTACGGCCTCAGCAGGCTGGGCCTCCACGCCGGCATCCTGCAGCACTACCGTCTTCACTGGGATCATGCACGGGGTGGTGGATTTCCTCTTACTGGCCATGGTGACGGTCACTGGGTGATCGGCAGGTGAGAACTTATCCCATCAAGGGCCTCACAGTACAAGTTCCAGGTACTCCATGAAGGGCAAAGAAATGGTTTCTAAGTGCAGCTTTTTCACTTGCTTGCAGACAGCAGGTTTTCCCTATTAAACCTGAGGAGGGAGAGAAGAAAAAAGATTAAGATCTATTAAGCTCTATCTGTATATTTCTCAGACACCCAGACATACTCCACTGCCTTCCACCATCTAGGTCGTTTCACAAGAAGTCCAGTCGGCAGCTGGGATGTAAAGTCTGAGTCTAGAGCCTCCTAAGCACTAACAAATTAGTGCCCTGAAGAATGACTTGGGGATGGTCCAATACCATTTAATAGACTTATGTGATGCTTTTTTTCACCTTTCTTCCCCTACCCCCACTGTATCTTTGCATTAAGTAACTCAGATGAAGAACTAAAAACAAACACACCCTCATTTGAACCTCCAAATTAATTCTGACCATGTCAAAGTGAGAACAAAAGATCCCAGTGTACTTCTTGTTTAAATGTTTGGGTCAACAAGGGTTTTTCTTTTCATAGCCTTCCCACATAAGAGAACAAGATGACGCTTCTGTCTCTCCCAAGCCAGGCCAAGGGACCAAGTTAGCTGGTGTATGAACGGAAGAGGTGGGGTGGGCGGGGGTGGCCAGGAAGACTGGCTGCTGTAAGAGCCAGGCCTCTCTCTGTGGCCTTGCCCTGACTGCCGCCTACCACACTTGTTCCAAGCCAGGGAAAAGGGAGCACCTCACAGCTACTGGCTGTATCCCGAACTGTCACTCAGATGAAGCCAAAGGTCAGACCATCAGGGGATCCACAGAACCAGTTTATGGCCTGGCAAGCTGCACATTCTGTCTTTGGGTGCAGCAACTCAAAGTGTGGTCTCACCTTGGGTGCACATGCCAATACATGTGACCTTGTATTGTGTTTATTGTTCTTTCATTTTTGGGGTTTTTTTTCAGTTTTTATTGTTTCTTAAAAAAAAAAACCCTCTGAAATTTATTTATTTATTTCAAAAGCTAGGGTGATTGATTTACTGATATGTAAATTATTAATAATTATTTCATGAGACTCCACAGAAAAGCACTTCTGTGATCCCTATTGTTAAAATATCACCATAATCATCATTACCTTTCTTTTTGGCAAATTGCAATGCTGCAATGACTAAAATAATAGTAATTCTAGTATTAAATTCAAGTTATCATCAGTGTTTGCATTTAATATAAAAATATAAAGACAATTAAAATATGCCTATTCAAATTCTTAAATAGCACACTTTTCTGATTTATAATTCTAACCCTGACATCATGATAAAATTATTATTTTTTAAAAACTTAGAGACAAGGATAAACATACATCCAGATCTAACCACTTGCCACCATTTCTCCCACCAATTTGAAATGTCATGCACATATTGTTGCTTAATTTTTAATTATAAAAATAAAATATCAATATTAAGTAAAATTTAAGATATAAAGCTACCCATAAGTTTGTATACATTTCTGTCTAGTTCAAATAGTTTTTACATATTTTTAGTCATGATGAATGCACACTTGTATTTTTTTTCACTGAACATTATAAACATTTTTGTTACATAAGCTTCATAATTATAATATTTGATAACTGCCTAATAATGTACTACATTGGATTTAACTTATCCCACTCTGCTGTTGAGTATCACATTGTCATAGACGACAGTAAAATGAAGGTCAATGAAGATCTCTAGGCATATAGGATGTTTCCTCCTCCTCCTCCATTTTTTTTTTTTTTTTGAGACAGGATCTCACTGTATGGCCTGGGCTAGTCTTGAACTCATGAGTTCTAGTAATCCTCCTGCCTCATCCTCCTAAGGAGCTGGGACTACAGGCATGTACCACCAAGCCCAGCTAATTTTTAATTTTTTTTAAAAGAGATGGGTTTTACTATGTTGCCCAGGCTATTGTGCAATGGGGTCATCATAGCTTACTGTAAACTGAAACTCCTGGGCTCAAGCCATCCTCCTGCCTCAGCCTCCAGAGTAGCTGGGGCTACAAATTCGTGTCACCATGCACCGATAATTTTTCTATTTTTTATAGAGATGGGGTCTTGCTCTTGCTTGGGCTGGTCTTTAACTCCTGGCCTCAAGCAATCCTCCCCTCTCAGTCTCCTAAGTATCTGGGACTACAGATGAAAACCACTATGCCTGGCTAACATGTTTTTCTGCTATCAAATTATTTTTTGAAGCTAAGTGCACAGCAATGGGCTTATCTACTCAAAGAGTATCAACATTTCTGAGCTCCTTTATATGTAACTGGCATTTTAAATCAAGTGCTTTATAATCCCAAATCAGGGAAACTAAGAATAATACAATTATATTCCCAGTGAGCAAATCAGATTTTCAGACAAGTTATGGAAGACATCAAATAGAATATCGGAAAGCACAAATGACAAAAGAAAAAAAAAACAGATAAATTGGACTTCATCAAAATTAAAAACCTGAATGTTTCAGAGGTCACCATCAAGAAAGTAAAAAGGGCTGGGTGTGGTAGCTCAAACCTGTAATCCTAATGCTTTGAGAGGCTGAGGCGGGAGGATTACTTGAGGCCAGGAGTTCAAGACCAGCCTGATTGAGTGCAAGACCCCTTCTCTACAAAAAATAGAAAAATTAGCCAGGAATAGTAGCTGTAGTCCCAGCTACTTGGAAGCTGAGACAGGAGGATTGCTTGAGCCCAGGAGTTTGAGTTTGCAGTGAGCTACAATGACGGCACTGCACTTTAGCCTGGGCAACAGAGTAAGACTGTCTCAGGAAAAAAAAGAAGAAGAAGAAATAAAAAAGAAAGTAACAAGACAGATAACCCTCAGAATGAGAGAAAACACCTGCAAATCATAAATCTGGTAAAGTATATCTAGAATATATAAGAACTCTTACAACTCTACCATAAAAAGATAATTCAAAATGGGTAAAGAATTTGAATAGACATTTCTCCAAAGAAGATGCACAAATGGCCAATAAGCACATTAAAAAAGTGCTCAACATCATTAGTTGTTAAGGAAATGCAAATCAAAACCACAATGATACACTACTTCACACCCACTAGGATGGCAATAATTGTAATGACAGATAATAACTAGTGTAGGTGAGGATGTGGAAAAATTGGAGCCCTCACATATTGCTAGGGGGAATATAAAATAATGTAGCCACCTTTGGAAAACAGTTTGGCAGTTTCTCAAATGGTTAAATACAGAGTTGCCATAAGAACCAGTAATTCCACTCCTAGGTACATATACACGAAAGAGGAAAAAACATGTCCACAAACAAACTTGTGCACAAATGTTCATAGCAGCATTATTCAAATAACAGCCAAAAAGTGGGAACAACCCAAATGTCTATCATGGATAAATAAAATGTGGATGTATTCACACAATGTAATATTATTTAGCCATAAAAGGGAATGCAGTTCTGATACATGCTACAACATGGATGTACTTGAAAACATTATGCTAAAATGAAAGACATCAGACACAAAACGTCACATATCATATTACTCCATTTATATGAAATGTTCAGAAGAAGCAAATCCACGGAAGCAGAAAGTAGATTAGCGGGTGCCAGAGGATGAGGGGAGGGGAGAGGGGGGAGTGACTGCTAATGGGTATGAGTTCTCTTCTTGAGGTAAGGAAAATGTTCTAAAATTAGATGGTGAAGATGGGTGCACAATTCTCTGAATATACCAAAAACCACTGAAAGGACATCAAACCCAAGAAAGGTAGAGGACAGAAAGTTACAACACTCAGTTCTGTAGAAGAGGGTCATCATTCACACTTTTACAGTTCCAATACGGGTGATGTCACCCCAAGACACTTCCTGACTCGCCTTGGTAATATTTACTGCCCCCATGAATAAGGTGAATGGCAGTGACTGTGAACATCAGGTTTGCCAAGAGAGAGGGAAAGAAGATACAGACCCAGCAGCTGGAAGCAGCACAATCCAAAGGAAAAGAGCGCGGGCTCAACCCACGTGCAGGCAGCCAGCAGAACTCAGGAGCAGTTAAGTGTAGGGGCCCAGGAACAGCACGAGGCACAGGGTCAGAACTGCTGTTTGTGATGGGGACTGGGTTTCCTGAGGGGAAGGTAAATAGTGTTCCTGGTGTTTTATTTTCTAAGGCTGAGAAGCAGACAACATGAAGATAGATTTGATTTTTGGAAATAGTCCCAGTGTCATTCAGAATTAATCTCAAATTAGCCCCGAATTATCATTCAAATAAATGACCAAGGAAGGTAATACTGCTAACCATTCTCTGGGTGGCTCAGCCATCAATCACAGGCAATTACAAAAGAGCAGTAGTGGCAACAGTGTGGCCATGGCCAGCAATTCCTGAGCGTTTCACACTATTGGTAGTGCTTTCATACACACCCCTGCATTTCACTCGCACAAACCCAAGAGGAGGCACTCTTACCATTCCCATTTAACATACTAGAAAGATGAGGCTCAAAGAAGTGCCATCACTGCCTGAAGGGCACACAACTAGGAGGTGGGAGAGGCTGGGTCAGAACCCAGGCTGTCTGGCTCCAGAGCCCGTGACCTCAGCCACTCCACACACTGAGCTGAGTAATCTCCAGTGTTGGAACGACAGCTTCGTGGCCTCCTGAAGCGATCTTTTTCCGCCAGCATTTATTGGGAAAAATTTCAAGCATAAAACAAAGCTGAAGGAGTTTTACAGTGAACACCCATATTCTCACCAGCTGGATGCTTACTAAATGTGGCTATTTTTAGCAACATTACCCATTTAAGTAAGCTTGGGTTTATTTGTCTTACATTTTTAAAGGGGTATCTAATAAAAGTGGTGTTTAAAGGGAAAAACTCTATGATCTAAATGATCTAGAAAATCATTCATCCGGAAGACATTCATGGAGCATGCCTGACAAATGAGGCATTCCCACGTAGAAACGTGCTATTTCTGAAGTAAAGCCCAAGTGAAGTGAGCTGATATAAACGCAAGGTTGTGCTGCCAAAAGAGATTGGGAAGAAAGGGCCAGATGACAATCACATGTTCATTATTCTTTGTACAATCCTCTATATACCCTGTCTTGAAAACTTCTGCCTTGTAAATGGGTGTTTTAAATGACAAAACAACAACGAAAGTA